GAGTAAGTACTAGGCTATTCTTTAAAAAGAAGTGTAAAACCAAGTACAGCAGTAAACATTTGTAAAGGGCAGGGAGGTAGCAATGTGGGGTGGCATTACTATTGTCCAAAACTCATATTTACATTGTTTCTTCAGATGGGGATGCAAGAATGAAGAACTGGCCAGAAAATACTACGAAATGCAGCATCGCCTATCACACACAGACGTCCTGGTGCGACCAGCCGGATTTAGAATTTCACCTCTGCACCCATTTATCGGGGCCTCACCTGATGGGTATGTGTCCTGTAGCTGCTGTGGTACAGGGGGCTTAGAAATTAAGTGCCCATTTTCTGCAAAGGAGCTTTCTGTCAATGAAGCTGTAAATTCTGTTGCACACTTTTGCCTTGAACAGGATTCCCAAGGAAAAATTAGACTTAAGCGAGACCATGCATACTTCTACCAAGTGCAGATGCAGCTATTTGTTACCAAATTGGCATACTGTGATTTCATTCTGTGGACTGAAAAGGAAGGTGATTCACCCTTTGTGGAACGCATTACATTTGACCCAGAATTCTTTCACAAAGAACTTGAACTTGCTCGTAACTTCTTCCTAAAATGCATCATCCCAGAGCTGTTAGGCAAATGGTTTTCTGCACCAAAACAAGCAACTGCAAGCACCGATCCCCAGCAACAGTGGTGCTACTGCCGTGCACCTGCGGCAGGGAACATGCTTGTTTGTGCCTCAGGGTCTGTGCCGTGAAGAGGTTCCACCAAACCTGCCTTCGGATGAAAAGGGTACCGAAACAGTGGGTGTGTCCTAGTTGTAGGAAACTAATCAATGCCCAAAAAAAAAAAACATAATTACTTAGTCTTACTTACTTACGAAAAGTGTGAATATGAATGAGCTGATGCAATGTCAATATTTTATTAATTAATAAACAACTGTTAAACCAATGTCTTCTGTGTCTGTAGCAGTATCTGTAGCGCTCTTAAAACATGGATAGGTCACTCAAATCTAGTGAGTGAGAAAAGTAGTCACAACAAACAAGTGAGAAGCGAATCAAAAAGGTTTATTTTCTGTTGACGCACAAATTCATCACTCAAAGGGCACCACAGAATCAGGTACATTTGTTAGTCTACAACATACACTCACAATTTTATCAAGATAAGTAACATCATTTTCTTTCTCTATGTCTGTGAAAGTTATTGGCACAGTGCTTTGTAAGATAGTATATTTCTGACGAAGTACTCCTATGACTCTTTCGATGTGAATCCTTAAAGAGGCTAGAGATCTTGTATTCTCTATGTCAGCAGGATCTAACTGTGTTTTTCCACGAGTAAATGCTGGAATTTTTAATTCAGCCTGACACCTTTCAACAGACTCCTTCACCAAAAACCCCCTGTCTGCCAAAACAACATCCCCTGGGAGAATATTAGGTAAAAAATCACTGTGTTCTGTAATGAACTTATCACTGGTGCGACCTCCCCATCCAGTAGAAATGAAACAAATTGAACCTTGAGGGCAAATGGCAATTAAATATTTCATGGTGTGATGTGATTTGTATCTTGAGTAACACTGCGCACTGGGTCGCAATCTACTTGGTTTCTCTAGAAATATTTCAAAGCAATCAATGATACAAACAGTCTTCTCGTAGTCACCATTTCTAAATACATATGGAAGAGATGTTCTTAAAGATTCTCTTTCAGGCCACACCACTACACTTGGAACCAGTCTACAATAAATCAAATTAACACAGTGTTTGAAGTGCCTGGAGACAGTAGTTGGATCGATGCCAAAATAAAAACCCAAAGTCAAATGTGAAGTTCATTCGAAGCTTCATCAAAGTCAACATGTATTGTTGAAAACATGTTATTGATGATTTAAGTTTGAGAAATGGAGCCAAATATTGAAAAATGGTCATAAGACATGTATAGGTTGCTAACCCAGTGAGGACATTCACCTTTTTATCATCATTATGCAAACTAATCTCTGTCAGGGTCTTCCTATTTATCTTGTCCCTTAACAACATGTTTTCAGTCCTTAGAGCTTGGCATTCTAGCTCAAGACACTGGATGCGGTTAAAACAGGTTTCAGAGGTGCATGGTGGTGTTGCTGGATCAGGCTGGACAGGATCTTCATCGCCTGAGTCTACCAAAGGATCTGAGATGGGGGGCTCCTTCAAAGGCTCTGTGATTTGGTCTTCTTGGGCTGCCTTTTTCTGGGGACAATCAGTTGATGTCCTGATGAAAACACAGAAGCAGCAAAATAAGCTTTCATGCATACAATACTGATGGCAGTTTACATGTTTACAGTCTGACATGTTTAATGGAAATCATATGATATTAGCCTTCATTAAATGACTGGTGTGACGTTTTTGTTTAGAACCATATCACGGCAGTTAACTATTTGAAATAAAATAATCTGAATAACACACCGATAACAAGTAGACCCAGCATGTAATCAGACAGGAGTTTGATCTACCAACCTTTGACGGATGGCTTCTGCAGATAGCTTTGCCTGCTCTACTTTGTGCAATTTAGCCTTCTGCCTTCTGTTAAAAACCTCCAGTCTCGTTTTTCGTCTCGTCTTCTCTGGAGATGGAAGGTAATCAAAAATTGACGGAATAAAATCCGGACTCAACGGGTTATCACTCTTTCTCCCTAAAAAATAAGAAGGAATATTTTCAACACGGGTTTGTTTACCACTAGCTTGCTACAAGCTAACTGGCTAGGCTGCACCAGAGCCACACTTGTTGAGTTAAAAAGGGACATCACAGAGTCCGTTAGCTATAATAACTGGGTGCTAGATTCTACTTCGGTAAAAATTAAACTGACCAGAAACTTTTTGTAGCATTGTACTGTATTCCTTCACCCACCTGATATGAAGTGATCACTGCATAAGCGAAAGCAAACGGCCGGGGGGTCCCATCTTTCAGTCTTGTTCAGACGGCTCCTGTCTCTTTTAATCGCTGCGATCCACTTTTCCCTCCTCTCCGCGTCTTTTGGAATGCGATAATAAGATACACCTTTCTTCTTCCCACGCCTATTTGTGCAACCTGGTGCACAGCAGTTATCCACCATCCACGACAGTCTGCCAGTGCCTGCCAATGAATTTACTGACGCGATTACTGCCAAAATGGCTGCCCCCTTCGTTTCTCGTCACGTGACCAGCATATGTGACATCATCCGCAGGAGCTCTATAGCTCCAGCCCCCACCCTCCCTGTGAGCTCAGTGTGCTCTGATTGGTCGGGACGTTGTGAATTGCGCTGAGCTCCGTGACGGTGTGGTTTCCTTGTTTAGCGATAGCGAAACACAGCCAAACTCACCCTGAGCACACACAAAGTTACAGCCGAAGTAAAAACAATAAGTGTGGCTTGATATTGAGTAAGAAAAAGGTTGATAAACGCTGTGAGAATGGGTCTGCAGAGAGAATTTCGCCACGATCCCAAGAAGTGGCAGATTGCATCCCGGTAAACCAACAGTGCAGCACGTCCAGCTAGCTGGTAGCGAAAATCTACGTTTTATTGCCCCTTGGGCTTGCCGTGTGTGTTGTAGTTATTGTAAAGTCAGTTGAAAACCAATACTCACATTTATTAGTGATTCCTCCACTTGCTGCTGCTTTTAAATCCACTCTGCTGGGGAGAGCATACCGCCATTTCATTTGAAAATGTGTGGTGCTGTTGCTTTGATCTGGACCTATGAGCTAACCACACCCTGTTCATTTGAATATAAGAAATGGAAATGTAAAGAGCTGTGAAATAAACGTGGCATTATGAAATAAAAGTCCCCTGAAATAAATAAATGTGGCATTATGAAATAAAATTCCCATGAAATAAATAAATGTGTAATTACATTTACATTTATATATATGTATTGCCTTGTTTATTTATTTCAAAATGTATTTCATAACCATATTTATTTCATAGGCATATTTACTTATATATTTATGTATTTATTTAATCATTTATGTATTTATTTCCTTTTGGCTTAAATGGCATTCCATAGGTGTTGCTCTGCACTCTGTTCCTTTCTCTGTGCTGCTGCTGTACAATAGTCTCCATGCACACACTATTATGTGAAAATAACGCACCAAAGGACACATGACTGCATGAGTCAGAGAGAAAGATGGAAATACAAGAACACATGTTTTCAGCACACTTTATTTCAACAAATGTGAGCAATATGAGAACTACACTAATAAAAGTCTTACAAGAAGACTTTGACACAGGAATCCTACAAGATGAGTGCACAGCAGTAGTAATATTCATCCCACTTCCATCACATTAGTATGCATGAAAAGTGACAGGTGCTGTGACAGGTGCCGCCTCCCCTTTGATCGAGGTGTGAGATCTCAAGTAGGTGTGAGATCCGTCGATAGGAGGGGGGTGATGTGTATTCACAGGTGTGAAAAGCCCCCACTGTTGCGCCTTATGGTCTATAATAAAAAATGTTTCAATCACATTAGTATGCATAAAAAGTGACAGGTGGGCCCGCCCCCAAGTGTGTGTGTGTGTGTGTGTGGGTGTGGGGACCTTCACTGATGTCCTCCCAAGGAGGTGTGTGTGTGTGTGCGTGTGTGTGTGTGTGTATCAGTCACGGATGTCTTCACATGGAGATGAAGACTCCTGTCTCTTAACACCCAAGGTCCTGCAGTCGGCTGAGGCTGTAAAAGTATAGAAAAAGCAGGTAGGAGGGGATTGAGAGGAGACTCTGGGGTGTCAATATATCCAGACCAAAATATGCGGATTCAGAGCTGATCAGAACACAGAAAGGCTGGGAAATTCTTTTTTGTTTTTGTCTACTATCTACATGTTTGTAATGTGTATGTACATACTTTCAATGCCATCTCTCTCTGTTTCTGCTGATGTGTAAAATATACTAAATAACGTTTTATATACTTACTCTCTTGTTAAAAGGCGATTAAGTTTGCAGCGTAAGCCAGCCATCAGTGTTCTATATTTTAAGGCTTTGCATACCTCAAAGTGTCTAAAAGTATCTTGGCAAGAGAAAAAAAAAGCCAAAATACGCCTAGGCCATTAAAAAGAAACCGAATTGCTGCTAAGAAATAAGTTCAGCAAGCTATGACTCCAGTGGAACACTGTTAGAGTCAAAAGTAACTCTCAATGTATTCAGACAGAGTATGCAGATTGGGGCTGATCAGAACAAAG